TTACCTATAAAATTCATCAATTTCTCTCGATTACACATTTCTTTACATTTCTTTCATCTTCCTTATCTTTTCTATTTTTCTATTTGCAAAAAAATAGATTATTTTGATCCGTTCCATCCATACAACGATGATAACGACGACGATGATATATTCGTGAGTATGATGTACCGATATGCTACGGAAATGCTACCGCCAGAGCCAGCTCCACTACTGACAAGGTGTGCGACGTCAAACACAGATCGTGAAGAATGACATAGACGTCTAGTACACGATTATTTTGAGGATAATTAAGTCTACCAACCTAGCGATTTCAAAAGAAGGTATCATTTGCGAAAAAAATGTGTTTCAACGGATAGTCAATCCATTGGAAAGCAGGTAATTGTTTTATAGATAACATAAGTATACTTTTTATATAATTGTTTTTTAGATAATATAAGTACACATTTTTTACAAATTAAATATATGTTTAAGTATGAATTATTTCAAATAAGGTATGATGCGAGAGGTAAACGGGGTTTTACATGGTTGCAAAAATGTGCTACTACAATCAAGCTTATGGCTATGGGGGAGTCGCCCGATTCCATTGATGACTACATGAGAATGTCGGAGCGAACTGCCCGAGAAAGTTTGTATAGATTGGCAAGAGGTGTTATCAAATCCTTCAGTGACAAATACTTGCATAAACCTTCATTGAATGACGTGTAACAACTATATGCGGCGCATGAAGAACGACATGGTTTTCCAGGTATGCTTGGAAGCATTGATTGCACAAAGTGGATATGGAGAAATTGTCCTGTGGCATGAAAAGGTCAATACACAAGTGGTCATCTTGGAGCGCCTTCGTTGGTATTAGAGGTTGTTGCTTCACAAGACTTATGGATTTGACATGCTTTTTCCGGAGTTGCGGGTTCTAACAATGACGTAAACGTTCTTGATCAGTCACCAATATTTCAAGACCTTTTGACAGGAAAGACACCAAATGCTCCTTTCACAGTGAATGGCCATGAGTATAAGTTTGGGTATTACCTCATGGATGGAATATATCTACCATATTCCACGTTTGTGAAGGCGTTTCGTCACCCGATAGAACCAATAGACAAATTTTTTCTAGAGAAGACAAGAAGGAGCACGTAAGGACATGGAACGTGCTTTTGGAGTTCTGAAAACAAAATGACACATAGTTGAACATGTGGCAGGACCATATCACTTGGACACTCTACGAGATATTATGTATGCATGTATCATAATGCATAACATGATGATTGAAGATAAAGAACGAAACATTGCGGAGTATTCGCCTACGAAACCTGGACACATTCAATTTTAACCAAGGACAACAAAATACTTACATAGAGTCGTTGACATTTAAGACCAACGAAAACACAAGCAACTTTGAGAAGACTTGACAGATCATATCTACGATGGTACTGAAGATGAATAATTTAGGTAAAAAAATATAAATTTTCTCATCTCTTTTTTGATTTTTAGGTTTTTAATTGTTTTTGTCCTTTGTTGTAATTTTTTTAATGTTGTTTTTAATTTAGGATTTATTAAAATTTTATTTTTACCTTTTAAATGTTATTTTTAATTTATATGATAATTATAAATATTATGACATGAATAAAAAAA